CTGCTGAGCCAGGAGGGAAAAATGGTAGGGAGGGATTCCTAGCCCACCCCTACCAAGAATCACTGTGCAGAGGTGAGTAGGGCAGAGAGCCGGGCACAGACTGTCAGAGTTGTAGGCCTCTTGGAACTGGGGATTTTAATCTGAAACCTATAGGACCCCCTCCCACCCAATTATGGGCAAAATATTGTGTCTGTATTTGAATATGTATTTGAATATGTTTCTAGGGAGGAGAAGTCCACAGGGTTCATTAGATTCCTGAAGGAGTCCAAGGCGGAATTGAGATTAAAAACCAACATCCTTGCAGTACAGATTGGCAAACTGGGCTCAGAAGGATTGAGTGATTTACTCCAAGTCACTCAGCTTATAATTGGCAAGCCAAAGTGCTTCCATGGGGCATCCTGGTGATAAGGGCATCTCGCTGGCTCCCATGGTTCTCAACCTATTTCAAGGCCCAGAGTTGCCCAAGACTGAGAGATAGGTGGTATCTCAAAACAGAGGCCTAAGGCCAAGATTCTGACTGAGGCTGGGGCTATCCCACACAGCAGATGGCAAGAAGAAGGGGCACCAGCTTTCATCTTTCAGAATTTGAGGGGCTAAGCCAAGCACAGGGGGGAAGTGTAGGTGGCAGGGTGACTATGGAGAGAGACTTAGGGACAGAATCAGGAGGGAAAGGAGGCTTCAGGGAGAAAGGATGTGGGTTGGGTGGGGAGTGCAGAAGGGGTTTCTGGCCCTGCAACATGACCTAAGGATGTAGAATGGGGACCCAGCGCTATGGAAGGTCAGCTTGGGGCAGAGTCCTTGGTGGCCAGGAGGTTTCAGGTGCCCTGGTGCAAGGGAGCCATGAAAGATACCCAGCCCTTGCCTTGCTATCTCCCCGGTATATTCTCCATCCCCACATGGTGTAATTACACCCCTATTTTATGGATGAGAAAACTGAGTCCAAGAGATGTTAAGTAACTGGCTAAAGCCAAACAGCTAGATGTTGCAGAGGCAAGGCCAAGTCTAGGATTCTTCCCTGGATGCTAGATGCCTCTTTAGTTTCAGCTCTCCAGAGTGGGGTCCAGCAGAAGTGTGACAGGTGTGCCGAGGCCTTGGGTAAGCCTCTGAGATTCAGTGATCACTGGGTTTGGGGAGAAGAGGCAAACATTGGGATGAAGTGGGTATAGGAATGGCCGGAGCTGCCTTCTGGGCCTTTGTTGTTGTGTCCTTCCCGGTGAGATGATATCTGATCATCTTATGCTTCTACCTTCTCCAGGCTCTTGCCCTCTGTAGAGGAGGAAGGGGAGGACTAGCTGCAGGGACAGGGTGGCAGAGCATATCCTTGCTGCCAGTCTGGCACATTGGCGGGCTCTGCTGTTGCCCTTCAAAGCTGCCTTCTGACTGGTCTCAACCTGTCCCTCCTGGATCAAATGCTCAGCGCTGAGCCTCTTGCCACATGGATGGTGATGAGGAGAGAGGTGTGTTTGTTCTGTCATATGAGCTGCACAAACAGCTTCCTCAGCATTTTTATTAATAATTCAGCCTATGGCCAAGGGGGTAGGGTAGGGGGACAGGAGCTATGGGCAGACAGCAGCATCAGAGACCATGCCAGGTAGGGGCCAGAGGGGAACCCAGGAGCCCTGCCTCCAGCCATGGCCTAGCAACGGAGCCAGGCAGCCTCAGGGGCCCTCTTTAGGAGAGTGTGGGCCTGGTCTCTGCTTGGGAGGGAAAGAATGTCCCTCCCTGCTCTGTTCCTCTAGAAGCCAACCCAGAACATCTGGGCCCTGATGACCACACCAAATCAGAAATAGGCCTGAGGGACCCACAGTACTCAGTGGGGCATTCCTTGGGGAATCAGGTGCTGCCAGCATTTCCTGCCATGTCATGGAACCCAGGACAAAGAACCTAGCAGTGTCACAGAATGAGAAGGCTTTCTCTGGGCCCCCCTCTACCAGGCCTGGGAGGAGAGAGGCAGAACACCAAAGGCCCAGGCCCCTCACCTTAGAGGCAAGACGAGTGATTCACACCGATTTCTTTTCTCAGAAGACCTGCTCACTTCCGCACACTTCATTTCCTGCCTTCTCCAAGTGCCCAGAAGACAGGCACTCACAGTTGGCTTGGCTCTTATTGATGCCCCAGTAGGAGAGAGTAGTCTTCAAATGCAGCAGAATGTTTTGAGGTCGGACATCTGGAAGAACTTCTTTGAAAGGCAAAACATGATTATGAGGTGTAGGTTCGATATCCATCAGGAATGTTTTATGTTCCAAGTGTCATTTGAAGTGCCTTCCTTGTATCATCTCGTTTAATGTTTATAATAGTCAAATAGGTGGTATTTTTGTCTCCATGGTATGGCTGAGGACTGAAGCCCAGTGGGTGTCAAGTAGTCTGTCTAAGGTCACCCAGCTATGAATGGCAGGGCCATGTAAATCTGTATTCTTTTCTCTTACCAGGGATTCTGCATCCCCTAGACAAAGTGAATGAGGCCCAGAGAAAGGGTGTCTTCAGAGCTTTTCCTGTGTCAATAATGCAGGCAGGAAGTAAAACCCAGAGATTCCCGATGCTCCAGAGCCTCAATCTCCACAGCGACATCTCATGGGACTTATCTCGTGCATTTTCTCGTGTATTTGAGGGACTGTCCATCTCTGAAGTTCTGGAACAATGGCTGACTACTGCCTCCTGGGAGTGAATGAGATTGGGATTTTTATGTTTGAAAGGAACAGCCTGTAAACTCTCAGATTAGGGCAAGCACTGGGTCTGCTCATGAATCTCATGGTGGTTGGCAAAAGGCTGGAGCCAGGACCAAGGTTCTCCCCCTGGTTCTCTTCCCAGCTCCCTGTCTACTAGCTCTGGGGCCCTGAGCTCTCTGGCCAGTTCTTCCCCCCTATAGAGGTCTTATCTTCATCCTGTGTCACAGAGCGGTGGCCTCTCAAAGGTCCTCTCCCCACCAACTGTGAGAAGCTCTCCGATCCTAAACGCTTATAAAGATCTGTTGGGTTCAGTGATGAATCCTGCTCACGTTGATAGATGGGAAGATTCCTCAGCAGGGAACCTTTCAATGTGGAGCCCATTGACAACAGGAGGTAGGGATGGGAGAAGGGGTGGACTGTTTGGTCTTTACTAGCTAGGGTGCTAAAAGCGGCTGGGGGTGGGGGCAGGAACAAGTCTAGACTGGAGACCCTCAAGTCCCAGCCTTTTGCCTTAGCTGCCTGGGGTTTGCCAAAGAGGGGTGAGCATGGCTGCAGCGTATATGAAACATGATGGCCCTTGACCAAGGGCTGAGGGCTGAGATTTCTGGCCAGGGACTAATTATGGGCTAGAATCTATGGCTGCCTTTTGTTTTCTTCCCTTTTTAATTAGAACATTAAATCCAAGGAAATCTGTTCTCCACCGGAACACTCTTCATGGAGGTTTCCTTAGGGGAATTTTCTTATCTGTTTCTCAACCAAAAAGCTGTGGGCGGAGGTGAATGTGTGCCTGTGCCCGAGCATGTGTGTGTGTGTGTGTGTGTGTGTGTGTGTGTGTGTGTGTAATAGGCTCCTTGCAAGTTCAAGGGTATGGGCTGTGTGCGTGTGTGAGTGAGTATTGGGGGAAACATGAGACAGACTTGTCGCTGTGGGTGCTGGCTGCCTACCCTGTTGTGGGGAAAGTGAAGGTGTGGTTGGGTGTGAGCTGTGCAGTATAAAGTCAGTTAAGTTCATTTCTCTGGGTGGGATTAGGAATCCTTGATTTTGGAAACCTTGGCTCACCTTCCAACTTCAGTGGTGGGGAGGGCAGGATGCTGCAGCAGGACCAAGGGCTCTACCCTCCTGCCTACCCCCTTCAGTTTAGGGGAGAGGTGGGCCCCTTACCTCACAGTGCTTCAGGGTATCTCTTGGGTTTGTGTGCCAGTGTATGTGTGTGTAAGGGGAGGTGGTGGTGTAGTTGATTCGGTGTGTAGGTGTGTGCTGGGATGTCTCTGCACCAGAAATCACCAGTAGTTCATTCAGTTTCAGGCCTTGAAAATCTGGGGGAAAGGGTCCCTTCTTTTCCCTGCTCCAGAACCAAACACTTCCAGTTCTAGCGTTCACCTGTTTTGGGCTGTGCGGGACTGACAGAGGGGCTTAGAGAACCAAGAGAGCCCCAGGGGTGGAAGAGGGAGGGATTTCTTCCTTACCCACTCAAGTGCCAGGAATGGGAAGGGGGGAGCGAAGTGGAGGAGCCGTGCGGAAGAGAAATGAACAGAGGCCAAAAGGTCTGTTTTCTTTTCTGAGGCTGGGTAAAGTGGGGAGGGTCACTAGGCCCCGTCCCCCACGGAGGGTGGCGATCCCGGTCTTTTCTGCTCCAGCTGTGTTCAAATTCGGGAAACCGCGAAAGTGGCGGACCCAGGCTCAGCGCTGGCAAAAAATCCACTCCTGGTTTTTGCACACACCAGCCCCACTTCCCCGGGCCGCCGCTGGGTCGAGTCCCGAGCTGACGCCCTCGAGTCGCCACCAACCGGAAAACCCGGAGTGGTTTTTCGCGCCTTTTGGAATGGAGTCAAAGGGCGCTTGGAAGGAGGTGGGCAGCCACCCCGCCCCGCGCGGTTCGAAGCCATCGCCTTCAGGGGCGCCCCGGCCGCGCTGGTCGCGCAACGCAGCGGGACCCGCCCGCCCGCAGGGCCCACCCGAGGACTCCGCGCCCTCCCCGCTGGGGCTGCGGGCGGGGCGCGCAGGGCGGCGCCGGTGCCCTCGGGGCGGCTCCGGGCGGCGGCGGGCGCAGGCTGCAGTGCGGCGCGCGGCCGGCAGCTGGCAGCAGCGGGTGCAGGCGGCGGCGGCGGCGGTGCCCCGGGCGCGCTCACACACACACACACGCTCACGGCCTCGTGTACACACACACACACACACACACACACACACACACACACACGCTCCGGCGCGCACACGCGGCGCGCAGGCCGGAGGGAGGAGGCTCGGCTCGGCTCGGCTCGGCTCGGCTCGGCTCGGCTCCGCGCGGCGGCGGCGGTAGCGTGCTCGGCGGGCGGGCGGGAGGGCTGGCGGGCGGCCCCCGCTCCCCGGCTCGGCGGCACGGCCCGGCCCCGCGCGGCCCCCGCCCTCGGACCCGCCCCCGGGGGTCGCCCAGCCCCATGCCCTGCAGCGGCGGCGGAGTAGCGCGCGGCCGCGGGCGGCTCTGAGCGGCCCGGAGCGAGCCGGCGACGAGGGGACCATGTACCGGGACCCGGAGGCGGCCGGCCCAGGTAAGCGCGGCCCCGCGCGGGCTGGGGCGCCCCGCACCGGCAGGCAGGACAGCGGCAGCGCCGGGCGCCCTCCCGGAGCCCCAGCCCGGGCTGCTGTCCGCCGGAGCTGCCCGGCTTCCCCCCAGCCCGCGGGGTCACCCCGGCCCCGGAGGCGCGGGCTCGAGGCGCGGTGGCTCGGACCCCGGCCCCGCAGTCCGGTGCTGCCAGATTTCGTGCCTGGCGCCGGCTTCGCAGTGTCCCCACAAGGACCTCCCCCCACCCCCCCAGCGGCCCAAGGACAACGTGTGTGGCGGAGCGAGGAGCCACTGCCCCCGCGGGAACCGGGCAGTGCCCTCAGAGGCACCCCCGGGTCCCCAGCACCAGTGCCCCTGGGTGCCAACGCTGGGGGACCCGAGGGCAAGGATCCCAGGCGGCTTTGGGCCAAGGCTGTGGGCACCGGAGAGCAGAATGACATCGGCGGTGCCGACTGTGAATTGAGAGGGTGCCAGAGGGCAAGCGGGAATCTGGTGCAGCAGCAGGGGAGGGGGCTTCGGAAGAGGAGGGTGAGGAACCGCAGGAGCCCCGAGGAGGGAAACAGGAGTGCCTGGAGGGGAAGACAGCAGAGGTTGGTGAGGATGGGGGTGCCAGGGGATGTGCTCCCACGTTTGGGGAGGGGGAAAGCAAAGATCCCCAAACTCACTCCAGTCCTGTCGGGGGAGGGGAGGAGGGGCCGCCCCTTCGCATCTCTCCCGAGGGAGCTGGGGAGTGGCTCAGGATCCCATGTCTGCTTGCCGTTCTCCAAGCCAAGCCCAAAAATCTTTCCTTCCTCGGGAAATTGCTCTGCCATTTCCTCCTTGGCTCCTGACGCCTCCTCACACAGTGCCCACCTGTAGGCAGGTCCCCTGCAGCTCTTGCCCAGGCTATCTCATCTCCCACCTGGGGTGCCCCAACCCAGACCCATCACCCCCCCCCCCAGTCTGCCAATTCTGTCAGCAGGGTCTCTGCTTCTGGGTTTCTCTGTGATGCGAAAAGCGAGACACCCCAGCCTGAGGACTTGCTCCCAAATGAAGAGCCTGCAGGCTTACCGCTTGCTGACCTCTGAGGGCTGAGGGTGCTGGGGGAAGGGACAGCTCTAAGGCCCTCTGCAAAAGGGGCCTTGATCCCCAAGGATTTTTTTAAATAGTTTTTTTTTAAGATTTTATTTATTTATTCATAGAGACAGAGAGAGAGGCAGAGACACAGGCAGAGGGAGAAGCAGGCATCATACAGAGAGCCTGACGTGGGACTCGATCCAGGGTCTCCAGATCACGCCCTGGGCTGCAGGCGGCGCTAAACCGCTGCACCACCGGGGCTGCCCCAGATCCCCAAGGATTTTGTGGGCAGTCCAGTGGACACCAGCTTTGTCCACTCTTGTCCCAGCCTCACATTTGTCTTCCCTCTAGGGGCAGCCTCAGCCTGTCTCTGCCTTCTAAGGAGGTGGGCCCTCACCCCCATCAAATCACTGCAGCCTACTGAGGCCAACTAGGAGGACTTACTGGGTGCTAGGCATTGCACCCACTCAGTGCTTGGGGAGAAGGGTGAGAGAAACTCAGTCTCCAGCTCTGGAACTTCATGCCCATCTATGAACATCCTCTAGGTGGTGGATGAAGGGACATTGCCTTTGGAAACCCCTTGCTTCATCTGTCTGAACCCAGATCACTGACCCTAGCATCCTCCTGCAAAAGGCTGCCAGCTTCTAGCACTCGGACTGAGGGCAGAGGCAGGCGTTCTCTGGCTTAGATCACTTTCTCAGAAACCAGTAGCTTAGTTCAGAGGCTAGCTCTAGGGTACGAGGTTGGAAGGGGAGATGCAGTGAGGACACTCCCATTCCCCTGCCCTACCAGGCTAGCAGCTTCCCCTTTCTTGTTAGGCCAGTGGCCTGGGTCCATGCCCTCATCCTCTCCCTCCCTCTTTCCTCCCACGCCTGGGTGCCATGACATCACTGCTCCTCTGAGCACCCCTGCCCTCTCCATGGAGGCCAGCTTGACATGCTTGGCATCCTCTGGGCAAAGGGCCTGCAACCCAGCATTGCCCCTGGCGTACTGGCAGCCCCCCAGGGTGTCTCTGTCTTCCCCTTTTCAAACAAGCCTCCCTCTGGGATGGAGACCTGTCCTGCCCCATTTCAGGGCCCAGGAATGCTAGGGGCTGCGGGCAGGGGTGGGAGTGCTGGGGACAGGTTGGGCCTGAAGTTCACTTCTCTCTGGTGTGGCCACTGGACTGGATGGGGTCAGAGTCTGCCTCTGATCCTGGTCCCTTGGGGCTCTCTGAGGGGCCAGAGTCATCAGTCTGGCCTCAGAACCCCCTCACCCCACTCCTGCATCCCTGCCTACCTCCTAGAATCCCTACAGCTCCAGGCCAGACGATGTATTACTCCCAGCCCCAGCTCACCTCAGGCTCCCCAGAGTCCTCTCCCCCAGGCAGGCCTTTGTGTCCCCCATTTCTGTCCCCCACTTCCCCTTTGGCTGGCACCTGGCAGGAGTGAGATATGCAAAATAATTCCTGTGTGATTCTGGTCCTCAAGGGGCCAGGACCTTGTTTGTCTGGATCCCCTCATCCCACTCACAGGAACACCTGTGGCCCAGTCCTTTTTCCGATTTTCTGTCCCCTGTGTTTTCTTGTTCTCCTGTGTCCCAGGGCTAGTTCCAGAGTGTACCCGAGGTACTCCCCACCACCACCACCGCAGCACACTCACCCTGATCTCTACAGGGTTCAGCCTGCTGCTAAGACCCTGTTCAGAGTTACCTACCCACTTGGGCCCACAGCCACAGGCACTTCTGGGATCTAGCTCAGCTGAAGCAAGGGACTGTAGGAAAAAAGCCAGAGCCCAGTGAAGAACAAAGACCAGCCCCCCCTCCCCCACACCCATTGGCTTTGCTCCAAACTCTGTCCAGACTCCCCCAGCCCTGCCTGTGCCTGCAACTTCCTCGCTGTCCCCTCCCTGAGGCAGACAGCTCTCTCCCTGCCGTCAGCCTTCATCCTGTGTTCATCCTGTGTTCATCCTGAAGCTGGCTTTGCCTGGCTTCCCTGTGTCCCTCAGACCCAGGCTCCAGACCAGGCGGGGCCTCAGCGGGCCTGCAGGGGTCAGCGTTGCAGTGGGCAGGCAAGTTGCAGTGGGCTGGCTAGGCAGCTTCAGGAAAGGAGGGAAGGAGGGAGAGGTGACCTTGTAGTGAGTGAGTGAGCAAGGCCAGAGAGGGAAAGTCTGGGCCAGTGCAGCAGTGCTGGGAGAGAGGTCAGATCCTGAGGCTGCCTGCCCTGCTCCCAGTCCTCTGTGAGCTTGTCCTTTGGGGTAACAGTGTTTGAAGCCTTGTATGTCCCACCTGTTAGTGGGATCTGTCCTCTACAGCAACTCTGCCAAAAAGGTCATTCTCGGGAAGCATAGGGGACACACTGCATGGGGTGGGGGGCCTTGGCCCAGTGGGTCTCCTTCCTCGGGGAAGAAAGATCCATGAGATTGTCCAGGGCAACCTTCCACCCCCTGGGCACAAGTTAAGGACAGAGGCCATTGGGTGATGTATAGGGCAGGAGTCCGGGGTACTGCTGAAAGGGCCACTAGGATTAGGGATGAAGGCTGGGGAGTGGGAAGGTCCAAAGAGGCCTGACTCTGTCTGACCCTTTCACTGTCAAACTCTCCCCCACGCCCATCTAACTCTCCACCCCCTCACCCCCCACCTACCCCACCTGCACAGCCATAGACCTTTCTGGGTTGCATCTCCGGCTTGGGTCCCCATCTAGAGCTGAAAAGCTAATGATCTCCCAATAGGCCGCAGCCGGAACGGGGGTGCCTGGGGCTGGGCAGATCTGAAACGCTGGGTGAAAGGGATGGCTTTGGTGGGCTTGGGACAAAGTAGCTAGTGCCTCCAAGCTGTGTGTCACTGTGGAGACAGGACCCTCCTAGGCCTTGGGTCATGCTGTTTGGTGGCCTGGTGGGAACAGCTTGACCGAAAGGCTGGGTGCTCAAGAACTGGGGGACCATGGGGAGGGAGGTAGCCTCGAAGCCCCTCCTAGTGGGGGAAGAGAGGCTAGAGCAGGTTGGATTGGGTTGGGAACATGAAGGCCAGCAGGTGACAGGTGAGGGACAGCTGGAAGGCAGGGGAATAAGTGGGTGTGAGGGCCTGGGCATCTGGGCCCTGCCCCTGGCTGACCCCAAGCTCAGGCTCAAGGGAGCTCAGGCTCAAGGAAGGCAACAGGGCGTACCAGCCAAGGGCCATCCCCTCTCACCCCTAACAACCCAGCCGTTGCAGGAGGCCTTGAGGGAAAGGCAGGGGAGGAGTGGGTGGTTCCTTCCCTCTGGCACCCTACCTTTCCTCCCCCCCCACTCCCCACCCACCCTCTATTTTCTGAGGGATTTTGAATCCTTATTGAATCTGATGGACTGTTTTCAATAACTGCCTCTGCCAGGGGAGTGAGGCTGTGAAATGGCAGAGAGAAGAGCAGTGAGGAGGGCCTGGGGGGCGCGGGAGGCCTAGTCCTGAGCCAGGAAGGGACTCTTGGCCAGAAGGGTGTTGCTTGGACAGTCTCCTCGGACAGGCACCCCTGCATCCTGGGTGAGCCAGGGCAGCATTGTGGGAAGCCAGCTCTCTGCTCCGTGGGCAGTACCTGGCAGGTGGCACATGAGGCTGGTAAGGTCAGCTCTCTCCATCGTGGCGGTCACTGGTCTGGCAGGTGCCGGAGGCAGCCTGGGCCAGGCCCAGCCCAGTACCCGCCTGCCTTGCAAGGGAACCCCAGCCCATGGTGCCAGGAGGATTGTGCCAGTACTGTGGACATGGAAGTTCCTGACCTCCTAGGCAGTCAGGGCAGACTTGCTGGGCCCTGTCCAACTTGTGTCTGGAGGGCAGGGCTTTGGTCTCAGCCAGCAGAATTCCCTAAGGGTTGGAATGGAGTTGGCAGACAGCATGGGACCTGTGGAAGGTGCTGGACAGTGCCCAGAGCCCACACCTGGGATTCTGGACCCAGTTGGATTGGGAGGTGGGCTGGCATGCCGG